ACCGCGAGGTGGTACATGAATTTCAGAAGACGACTCCGTTTGGAGATCTTTAAAATCAGTAATGACTTTGAAAAATGCTGGTGCAACATGCATTTTTAATTGAATTAATCCATTACTCAATTTTTCAATGGAATTTTCCATATTATGGTTTGCGCGACGCTCATCCTTGCTTTTATTTTTATTTATCGATGTATTCATATTGGCTACTTCTTAATAACTGATAAGACGATTGCCGCAATTACAATATTACAATATCCCTACGCAATGACTAGGTAAGGGGAATACCTCAAATTTTTGAATGAATTCGTATATTTATGTATATAGTAACCAATTAGATCTTGACAGTGATGTCATTTGAAATGGTGAGTTTCTATATTCGCTAAGTTCGCAAGCCAAAAACACTATCAGTAAACTATTCCATGTGTTCCTACAGGAAAAGCAAATTCGGTCAAAGTTAAGGTTTTATATATTATACCACTTGTGGTACAAGGTATATTAATATAGTGCGGACGTATGTAACAAACGAAAGGGGTTCTGAAGTCCCTCTGTATGTCATATGCTTATCCATGCAAATTTGCATTCAAGTTACAAGTTGCAATTTTCGAAATATTGTGCGAAATTTGGTACTCCGAGTTGGAAACTGGTTTGCAATAGGTGTGATGTTATTATCAATTGCTTCAAAGGAGCAACCAAAGTGACGGTAGAGGGTAAGATTCATATAATCGCGACAATAGTAAGTTTTAGTATATAATATTGTCACTTTCAGCAGAGGACAAATACAATGAATGGGGAGCTCAATTAGTGTCAGTTGTCTATAAATCAGATAAAACCAAGTTTAAGGATAGTTCAGAAGAGAAAACGGGTTGTATTTTTTGTTCAAGTGATTTTTCGCATTTAGTGGAAAAGCATCGTGCCGTTCCATCGAGGCCAGTAAATATATGTGATAATAGTGGTGGAATCGGCATTGGACGCGGAGGTCGTGGTGGCGGTCGCGGTAACAAAGGACGTAGCAGTGGAAGAGGAAGTCGCGGCGGAACACGGCCACCCAAAGATAAAATGGCTGAATTGGCAGCTTATTTTGTTTAAAGTATTTGGAAGAAGCATCTACGAAAGTATGCAAATGCAAGTATCTTATCACCTTTCCATATCGAATGGAATAGACGGACCCTTTGGAATACTTAACAAAATAAAAATTGTATTAAAAAAAAAAGTCGTTTAATTTAAGATCAAAACAAACAAATACTAAAGGGATAACATGCCTTGCAAGCAATACCTGGCCTTATTTTGGGAACTTGGCAATTTTTTTAACAAGTAAGAGAAGTTTTGTAAAATTGATATTTCATTGCAAAGTGCATCGGACGGTTGATAAGACTGTCCCGGAAGGTTAAGCAAATAAAGTGCGACTTGATGACGACGGGAATTTATAGAAAGAAGTATCCAAGTACCCAAGAGGGTTTAAGTTTCCCAATTTGATAAATATGAAAATCCTCCGTAATGAAGAGCGTTTTAACCTTGATGAAATTCATCCTCGACAAATGAATTGGCTTGTTCCTCGATCACGACAAAAGTTTTATATCTATTGTTTTCCTTTCTTTCGCCAGGTCAACCGACCGACGCATGTTAAAAAAACACACACACAGTTAGAAAAAAAAAAAAACATTTATTTTTCCACATGACAGCCATAAAATTTTAATGCTTTTAGTTTAATGTTTTGACATTTCTTTGTCAATTTCGAAATAAAACACTCATCAAAATTCTTCACCATCCAAAATTCTAGGAAAATTTATTCAAGCCATGACTCCTCTAAGAATGAATTTTAATGCGTACAATTGCTCACATTTGCTATGCCGCTACATATCTTGCACTTTCAGCTACATTTCGCAAACACAGAATGTGTGTAAAAGATAAAGTCGAATTCTTTAAAATACCACACTCCCGCATGTCTACATGTTTTACATGAACTTAGATATTATAGACTCTGCTAACGGTGCATAGCAACTGAACTAGTGGAAATGGAGTGATAGCTTTGCAAGTTTGTTTACTTCACTGTTTACTATAGAACGCGCCTTTAAAGCGTATTCTATTGATTGACATTTTGTTCAGTAGCCTTAAAACAAATTTATGTGCGAATATTAAATTTTTATCTTAATTTTCACTATGGCGAACGTTTGAATAACCGAGAAATAAACTATCGACTAAGCACGGTTAAGTTATTTCATTAAGAATGTTTATTATTTATGGGTTGCGAATTGCGGATTTTCTTTGATGGATGGAAAGGGGAAATAATATCCAACTTAGCAAATCTCTTGCTACGTATCATACATAGATTCTCGATCTTACTTATACACGATCTTTTAGTAGCTGGCGGAGAGCAAAAGTTTGCGTAACTTACGGGAAAGCAAACCTAAGTCGATTTCGGTATCCACGGCGAAAAGCAACTACTACTTTATAAAGTAAATATAGCAATTTCGCATATCTTATAATAAACAAATCTATAAATAAGTAGACCTGTGTCCATTTTTCGTCTTCTGCAACGCGTGAACGGCTGAACTAGAACATATATTGTAACTTGGAAGATATTTGTTATTTTATTAATATGTCAATTGTTTGGCAGAACAGCGGGGATTTCATTGAAACAAAAAAAAAAAAATTCATTAAAACTGAACAGTGCTAAACACTTTATAGTATTCTTTAGAAGTTGGAGAAACAATGACGCATAGCTTAACTTCCGTGCAGTCCACTGTACCGAAATCGTAGTCCCCCCAACGCTGAAAAATTTCGCGAGCGTCAAAAGGATTTATGGTTGACTTTATGCGGCGACCACTGTGACCAGCATCCATAAGGGCGACATGCAATGTCTCATGATTCGATGAAAAGTCCTTCCGTCCGAGTCCGCTGTCATTGAAGCGTTTTGTACAATGGTTAGCAAATTTGATGAGATCAGGGCAATCAATACCAGCCCGCAAAGTACGCACGGCACTTGGGTTATCGCCTTTGAATGTCAAACCTTTGGCATGAATTTTAAAGGGCGTTTTCATATCATGCACGTATTCACCGCAGCTCTGCAATAAAGTTATTGCTTTTTGTTCTTCAATTTCATCTGCCAATAGGCATATACCAAACGTAATATGCAAATGACCATCACTGCGAAATAGATTTTCACCGATGCCGGGAATTTGAGCGGCTAAGATTTGTTTTTTGAATGTGACGAATTTTTCACGAATTTCACCACACAAAACTACGCCATAAAAATGTTTCGATACTAGCTTTTGCCTTGCGTTATGTATTTTGAAATCGATTTGCCTTTTAACTTCATTCACGGTATCGCTTGTTTTCCCTTTAATTTTAATGTAAGGTTCTTGATTAAAAATACCGCGAGGTGGTACATGAATTTCAGAAGACGACTCCGTTTGGAGATCTTTAAAATCAGTAATGACTTTGAAAAATGCTGGTGCAACATGCATTTTTAATTGAATTAATCCATTACTCAATTTTTCAATGGAATTTTCCATATTATGGTTTGCGCGACGCTCATCCTTGCTTTTATTTTTATTTATCGATGTATTCATATTGGCTACTTCTTAATAACTGATAAGACGATTGCCGCAATTACAATATTACAATATCCCTACGCAATGACTAGGTAAGGGGAATACCTCAAATTTTT